TCTCTGTTTCTCTCTGTTTCTCTCTCTCTCACTCACTCACTCACTCACTCACTCACTCACTCACTCACTCACCCCCCCCCTCTCTCTCTCTCCTAAAATTACATTAAGACTTCCTACAGTCACGAAATTCTAGCATAAAAAGATTGTTTTGAGAGCTTATGTGGGTTACACTATTTCTTTAAGCATACATCCATAAGTCACTATTACTCCTACCACCTATGTATGAACCAAAAACTTTCCTAAACTGGGGGCCCTTACCCCCAGATGCCTTGCCAATCACCATATTTCACTATAGGGGGCTTTGCCTCCAGATCACTGAATCTCCATGGATTTATTCTCTACATTAGGATCAACTTATTTTCTTCACATTTGACATGATTCTTTGCAAATGTTATTTCATGTATCAGTGAGTGTAGTTTCCACTTTTCATTATGATAGCCATAATATTTTCTTGCAAAACATTACGTGTTATGTAGCTTCCTTATCAGTGGTTCATCAGAGTGTTGCATCTAGGACAGACTTACTCTGTCATTCTTTGTTTGTAAACATTTATTTCTTCTAAAATTAGATCTTTTCCAGGTCTTAACAGTACAAAATGGAGGAGTTAGTGCACCTGAAGTGGAATACCCACCATTCAACATTCACTGAAAATCTTAGTAACCTTCGTGACAAGGTAAAGATGAGGGAGTTCTACATGAGTTTATTTCTCTCTTTTTCTTTCAAAGAAACAAAAATGGTGATTGTATAAACAATCAGCCCAGATATTCATGAAAATACTTTCAACAAATTTTAAGATTATTATTTCTTATTATCAACTGACATTGCTCTCTCTCTTTTTCTCTCTCTCTCTTTCTATGTGTGTCTCTCTCGCTCTTTCTATGTGTGTCTCTCTCTTTCTGTTTCTCTATCTTTTTCATTCTTTCTTTCTCTTTCTCTCTCTCTTTGTCTCTCTCTGTCTCTCCTTCTCTCTCTCTTCGTATCACTTCGTATAATGTATGCTATACGAAGCTATTACGCCTTCTCTCTCTCTCTCGTTCTGTGTGTCTCTCTCTCTTTCTTTCTTTCTCTCTTTTTCTTTCAAAGAAACAAAAATGGTGATTGTATAAAAAATCAGACCAGATATTCATGAACATCCTTTCAACAAATTTTAAGATTACTATTTCTTATTATCAACTGACATTGCTCTCTCTCTTTTTCTCTTTTCTCTCTCTCTATGTGTGTCTCTCTCTTTCTGTCTCTCTCTCTCTTTGTCTCTTTCTTCCTTTCTCTCTCTCGCTCTCCTTCTCTCTGTCTCTCTAGTTCTCTCTCTCTCTCTCTCTCTCTCTCTCTTGGTATGTGTGTCTCTCTCGCTCTTTCTATGTGTGTCTCTCTCGCTCTTTCTATGTGTGTCTCTCTCTTTCTGTCTCTCTCTCTTTCTATCTCTCTCTCTCTCCCCTTCTCTCTCTCTCTCGTATAACTTCATATAATATATGATATACAAAGATATATGACTCTCTCTCTCTCTCGCCTTCTCTCTCTCTCTCACACACACACACATACGCGCGCACACACACACGCACACACAAACGCACACGAACACGAACACACACACACACATGCGCTCTCACACACACACACACCCACACACACACACACAGAAAGAGAGCGAGACACACACAGAAAGAGAAAGAGAGAAAGAAAGAAGGAGAGAGAGAGACACGCATAGAAAGAGAGAGAGACAGAAAAACAGCGTATAGGAGACATTATATGAAGTTATATATATGTTTCTCTCTCTCTCTCCCTCCCTCACCCACCCCCCCCCCCCCTCCCTCTCCCCCCCTCCCTCCCTCCCTCACTCACCCCCCCCCCTCTCTCGCTCTCCTTCTCTCTGTCTCTCTAGTTCTCTCTCTCTCTCGCTTTCTCTCTCTCTCTTTCTATCTCTCTCTCTATCTCTATCTCCTCATTCTCTCTATCTCTCTCTCTCCTTCCCTCTCTCTCTCTCCCTCCCTCACTCACCCCCCCCCTCTCTCGCTCTCCTTCTCTCTCTCTTTCTCTCCTTCTCTCCCTCTCTCTTTCTGTGGGTCTCTCTCCTTCTTCTCTCTCTTTCTCTATCTCTCTCTCTCTGTGTTGCTCTCTCTCTCTTTCACTCTATCTCTCTTTCACTCTATCTCTCTTTCACTCTATCTCTCTTTCTCTCTGTCTCTCTAGTTCTCTCTCTCTCTCTTCTTCTCTCTCTCTCTCTATATATATATATATGTTTAATGTTTGCAATATATATTTTTTTTTTCTCTGTCTCTCTCTCTCTATATCTCTCTCTCTCTCCCTCTCTCTCACTCCCTCCCTCACTCCCTCCCTCACTCCCCCCCCCCCCCTCCCCCCCCCCCCCTCTCTCTCTCCCTCACTCTCCCCCCCCCCCCCTCCCCCCCCCCCCCCCTCCCTCCCCCCCCCCCCCCCCACCCCCCCCCCCCCCCCCTCTCTCTCTCTC